ATTTGGCAGTTTACCTGATAGCATGCAGCACGTTAACCATGCTACTCTACAGCAGCTTCTGGTCTTATTTCACCAGCAAGGAATTCAGTCTGCGTGCTCTTAGACTGTTCCAGATCACAAATCAAAACAAGGTAATTAGGGACAAATGAGAAATTAATTTTAAGTTCACTTAAAATGTACAAGGGCTCCAAAAATAATACCTCTTATTTCTTGATGCTGACCCATTTGTCAGAGACAAATGGTGGAATTATGATAGTGAAGGTTGAACCTTCCCTCCAATATCCCATTACATTTTGTTGCTCTGTGACAGAAGGCAGCAGAGGTGCAGTCTGACACAGTGGCACACAGAGGTGAGGATGAAGCAAAGGGATGGGACTGAATTCCTCCATGCAGAAAGAATGGCACCCACTGCCATCCATCGACATTTACAGAGACCAAACAGTGGTGTGAGTGATACTTCTCAGCAGCTGTGACAGCAGGACACCTTCACTGGTACAGATGCTCACAGGCAAGGTGTACAGGCTCTTGTAAAAAAAAAAAAAAGCTGGTAAAAATGCACACAGCTAATGGTGGTGACTAGGTTGGAAAAGAGCATTTTGTAGCTGAGATTTTCTTCAATCAAATGGTGTTTTTGCGCTCTTCACATCTGTTGTAGTTTCCATAGAAATAAATAGGAGGCATTACTTTTGGAGTGATGTCCATCAATACACCCCAGTTATACTGCTGGAATGCATCTTAAGATTCGTCAAAAAAAAGGAATTCAGTACCCATGCTCCAAGACCATCCTCTTCAAAAGCAATCTCTAGTCCCAAACTGCTGATACAGATAAGGCCTTTGCAATCCAGGCGCACATCAGTTCTGTTTTTTTTTTTTTTGCTCCACCTATGCTTCCTAGCAGAGCTCTATGAGATTGCTTCACTTCCTTATCCAAGGCAGGCATCGCCCTTTAGAAAAGACATGTTTGAGAAGCAGAATGTCATTTACTAAAGCCTACATCATTCCTTGTTCAAGAGCATGAAAAAAAATACAAAAAAAAAAACACTTCTTTACTACCTTGCATGGGCTACCACCTGTAGTGAGATAAGATTGTGCAAGAGAAACATGTAAAGCCACTACCATCCTTCCCTGAAACCGTATCGAAAAGATTTCATACAGTGAGGAGCACAGGCACTCTAGAACTGCCTTTTCCACATACCAAATGATGGAGTTCCCATGAATTATTTGTTGTCTGAAGACTAAACTCTAAGCTAGCACTTATTCTACAATGGAAATTGGCCACACTGCTAAAAAAAAAAAATAAATACTAACAAGAGCAAAGTTAAAGTATTTCATTGTGATAGCAGGTCCAGCATCTCTAGAAGTTACTTATGCTGCCTCTGTTTGAGAATCACAGAATGGCCAGGGTTGGAAGGGACCTCAACGATTACGAATCTCCAACCCCCTGCCACATGCAGGGCCACCAACCTCCACATTTAATAGGAGACCAGGCTGCCCAGGGCCCCATCCAACCTGGCCTTGAACACCTCTGGGGATGGGGAGAGGAAGAGGAGGCATCGAAGAGGCGGCACCTCTGAGCTGTCAGTCAAAGATACCATACCGGAAAAATACCAGCCCAAGTTCTCCAGCAGAAAGTTCAGGCTCAGTTGAAGAACAAGTGAGAGATACAGTCTCTGCATGGAAAAGGATTTACATGCCAGAATTCCTTCTTTAAAATACTTTCCCTTAAGTTAAATGACGTTTCCTCCTCTTAGAAGTACTTTTCTGAAGTTCAGGTGTTGCTCCATTACAGAATACCACTGTTCTTTCTGACTTTATCTGACTTTACTCCACAGTATTCATCAGAAAATACAATAAGTCTAAATTAAGACCTACTCCATTAACAACAGTGCATTCCTATGTTTTTCTCAAATTCAGTTGTTCATATGCAGTTAAAACATATGCCCTTATACAGTGAAGGATGATAATTCAGACACAGGAGAGCCCACAAGAATTATTTTCAGAAAATAGTTTCTATGACTAGCACTAGATTGGAAATTCCATGTCTCGCTGTATAGATGAGATATGGTTCTTTCACTCTTGTATCAAGAAGAAAGGACAATTTCTGTCAATTAAAAAATAAAGTGTTGAAGCTAAGTAAGAACGGCACAAGATAAAACTGCACGAGGAGCAGTCAGTTCATTGAGCACGGCTGCCGTTACAAGTACATGCACACTCATTCCCCGAGACAGATATTGCTGTAGAAATGCAGATTCAGACCAATCTGACCCCCAGCACACCAGTACTGATGCTCAGAGACTGCAGCTGGAGATGTAAATGTATCAGACAGACAAATCCATTTGCAAACTTGTATTTTCTACCTGTATTGCTCAAGTAACTTCCATCAGGAGAGAAACAAATTACTTGCAACTTCATTCATCATCAAAAAAAAAAAAAAAACAAACAAAAGAAACAGATAAGTAACTAGATCTTCCTTAACCTAAGGACTTGTACAATAATTGCAGCGATGGTATCATCCAGTATAATGCTGAAACTTCTCATTTATAAATGTCCAAAGGGCATTTAATTAGACTTCCACTCTTTTGTTTTTTAATCAAAGAATTAAAGACATGCTTTCTAATCCATATATAACATCATTTCAGTAGATCACTGAACAGTTTTTCTTTATCAAAACAGTCTTGTATGTTACTAGGTGGCACAAACTAAACCACCTTTTATTTCCAGTTACATAAATGAACATCTTAAATTTCTGTTCAACTGCTATTTCCCAAAGGCAATCTGTGAAACCAGTAAATACACTTTGGTTGCTTAAGCATTTTCCCTATCTTACTGAGCTGGACATACAGCCAACAACTGTAGTTCAAAAAAGGACGCATCTACGTTTCTCTCATTATACCAGTTGCATAATATTCCACATTATCTCAAAGCTCTCATCACTAAACAACCCAAACTGCAAATAACAACTGCCCATACATCAGAAAACAAATAAGCAGAATAATCTTACTATTCATTCCTGATCCAGTGAGAAAGTGTTTTGCAAACTTGAGCATATGCATTTGAAAAACAGCAGTCTGTGGTTCTTTTCACTGCATGGTGTCACTATCCCCAGTTATACAAAACAGTAAAGAATCGAAGTGTCTGAGCATCTTCTGTAGACAATTACGTGATAGGATTAGACAGTGAAAGGAATAAAATGGAACAAGTAAACAACCGGATCTCCTCATCAGAGAGGTGCTGAGCACCCACAGCTCCCTCTGCATTAAACTGGGCACCTCTGTAAGGTGCTCACCTTCAGCCTTTGTGCCTAAAAATCTGAAAATCAAATCTAGACGTTTTCATTAATCGGGTTCAGTACCGTATTAAACACAGCAAGGAGATATGGGTGCAGGACTTATAACCTCATGTAGTTCACACCTGGAAAGTGAACTTTTTGGGGACTCAATTCAGTGGATTCTACATAGTTGTAAGGATAAGAGAACCCTCAGGGTGGCTCTCACAATGATCTTTACATAGCTCTTGATACTGTACACATCTTAGGTTCACAGTCACTGAAAGAGTTTATCTCCAAAATCACATCACGAAGAAATCGAGGAACTTCAGTCTCTATTCAATAGCTGAAGAATTGAAAAAGGTAAACAAAAAGAATTACCCAGTCTAATGCTATAGAGTGATGGATAATAGCAGGGTAGCAAAGTCTTAGGCTACAGAAAACGAGAACAAGCCCAAAGGCAGCAACCACAAACACAGAAACAAAGGGAGAAAAAAAAAAAAAATCTGCTTACCTTTAGAAGACTAAAGGCACACAGGTATCTCCAACAAGATACCCTTGCCCCTACTGCCAACCCTTAAATGAGGTCTGGGAATGGGGTGGATCCTGGCTCCACCCCTTCTGATCACTCAAGTACATTGCATGCACCTGAGCTCCCCTGCTTGGCCCTGCCTTCCCACCAGGTGCTCAATCACTGCTTCAAGCCACGACACAGCATTTCTCTGCACCCAAGAATGTAGGGCATAAATCTAAGAAAGCTTGGAATTCCTGATCTGTTTTTTCCCTCTAGACAGAGTAATATCCTTTCATTTTCTTATTTGACTGACATGGGGTGGACGGGAAAGTTTCCCTGTTTGCAGGATAACCCAGCTATAACCTATTAACATAAAACCATTATTCCATTTGATTTCTTGAGTTTACTTTGCCTCTTGTATATATCAACTATGCCAGTGCTGAGAACAGAACTGCTAAGAAGTTAATGACAGCTGCCTACATAGGAACCACAGTGAGAAAATGAGAATTTTAAAGGAAGAGTTTGAGCCAGAAATATTTACGTATAAGAAAATTTATGTTAATTTATTTTATGAACATAGTTCAAATATTTAATAAGATGTTGGAAATGTATACAAATTTACAGTTGCCAAAATAGCACCATACAAAAACCTGAAAGCTACAGAGCTTAGGTTTCACTCAATATTCTTTGTTACAGTGAACTGATAAATATTTCTGCAATATTGTTAACCTGAAATTCTACAGTAAATTTCCTTTCCATTTTATGTTGTGTGCAATACTGAGCTAAAATTGTGTTTTCCTACTTTTTTTTCTTGCCATTTTTCAGGTTATTACTCTTCCAGGATCAGCTTAAGATGTGCATGATACAGGCTGGTGATAAGCAGAAGCAACGAGCCACAAGTCATGCAACATTGTGTGCAAAACCATTCACCTTTCTACGTTGTAACTGAATTAATAACATTGTTCTTTGGAATTGCAGGAGACACCCACGGGAACCCACCATTCGTCCCTCAACATTTCTGCAGCAAATGCCACATGGCTCTCTTTGGCTCAACAGAACAAGTGTCAATCTCTTCATTACTTCATATTACAGACTTTACAACCAATTATGGAAACTATAAAGAAAGCAGTGGCTCTAAATTCTGATGTTTTACTGCACCCACCTCACATAGGCACGTGGTAGGGTAGAAACAGCAAGTCAATGAAAGAAAAGCAAACATACCTCCACATTTCAGAATGACAGGTTCTTCTAGTCCAGTGAAGATCAAGAGACACGAAGAGGGGATCTTCATTTCCCTTTACAACTGCTGGAAGACAAATTAAGCACAGTTCAGGAAGCATTTAATACATAGGCAAGGCTGGTTTCTATAAGTAAAACTAAAGAATTTCTACAGAAAAACAGTAATTGTGATTCGATAACTACAGCAAGGAACTACATTTATTTGAAAAGACTCATAGAATGGCCTGGGTTGAAAGGGACCACAATGATCATCTCGTTCCAACCCCCTGCTATCTGCAGGGTCACCAACCAGCAGACCAGGCTGCCCAGAGCCACATCCAGCCTGGCCTTGAATACCCCCAGGGATGGGGAATCCACAGCCTCCTTGGGCAACCTGTTCCAGTGCGTTACCATCATCTGCGTGAAAAACATCCTCCTAATATCCAATCTAAACCTCCCCGCATCTGTTTAAAGCCACTCCCCCCTGTCTTATCACTATCCACCCTCATAAACAGCCATTCCCCCTCCTGTTTATACACTCGCTTCAAGTACTGGAAGGCTGCAATGAGGTCTCCCCAGAGCCTTCTCTTCTCCAAGCTAAAAGAAATTAGACAACATTTCTATACCTCCTAATAATGGAAGCTGAGAAAGCATAAGCAAATTAAAGATTACTATGCAGTTTGGGGAAGTATGTCCTAACAGTCATATACGGAAACATGAATAATTCAAGCTCTGAGGAAGGCCAAGCACTCTTCTTAGCCAAAGAAATTCCATCAGAAGAAAGCGCTCCTATCGTCTCCCTTGCTCACAGCCTGCGCATCACAAATGGCTCCTCCCAACCCAGAATTCCTTCTAGTGGGATACGGATATATTGCTTCTAAACTCCTGAGAGAAAACACTGTAGCTAACTGCAATGTAGTAGCATACGACTTGTAAAAATCACAAAACACTGATGTGTTTCTGCTTACATCCAGAGATGGCCTATTCAGTCTCTGCCAAGGGAGCCCACAGGTGGATGACCGAGAAGTAGAATCCATACACCAAATAGAAGCCCCACAATTCTTCTTTTAATCGTTTTCTCATTGGGAAAGAATGGAGAAGTACAAATAATGAGGCACTTGCCATCAGCAAAGCAAGCACCAGATTTGGCACGCCAGCTCCCAGTCTGTTACTGGAGGTTCCAGAAAGTACTGGTTCCCACATCCAAGAGGCAGAAAACACCGAGGAACTCATCCAAAAAACATAACAAGCGCGTGGCGGGAGCCGGTGTCGAGCACTGGTTAGAGCTGCCGGCTGAGAGCTCAGAGCAGCGCTGGGAGCAGTGCGGGCATCCGACCACGGACGTGATCTCAGCGCCAAGGGAAAGGACGATCCTGACGGGACCGACCGGCACAGCGCTCAGCACTAACGGGACCTCGGTGGGGGAACGCCTGCAGGAACGGGGACGCAGCACGGACTGCGCGGAGCGGCGGCACCCCTGCTCCCACACAGCCCAGCAGGCAGGTGAAGGGCGGGAAACGGCTCCGCGCCCTCAGCTACTTTATTTAAATGGTGGAGCCCGAAGACATTGAGCTTCGGCTGTGCCTGCGGTTTCGGCCATCACAGAGAAAAACTTCCCGCCGAGGGGCGGCGGGGATCCCGTCACCTCGAGGCCGACGGGGCGGAGCACAGCGCGGGCTCCGGCCGCCTCTCACACGCAGCTCCGCGTTCCGCTCCCGGCTCAGCAGCCGCCCGCGCGCTGAAGGTTGTTTACTTCCCCCGCGGCGCGTGCGCGCGCCCGCTCACCCTCCCTCTCCCCTCATCCCTGCACTCCGCCACCACCGACGCGCCCCACCGGCCAATCAGAACCGCCATTGACCGCGCGGGGGGCGGGCACCTTTTAAACAGGAGCCGGGGAAGGCAGCGACACTGCCCCCTCCCCTCGGCCTGAGGACGCGGCCGCTCATTGGGCGAGGGCCCTGCCCGTCTCCCCGAGCGCCCGCCTTCCGCTTGACTCGCGCCGCCGAGTAGCCGCAGCGCCCCGCCCCCGCCTCCCATAGCTGTGTGTGTGAGGCGCCGATTGGGCACCGCCCCACCGCTCGGCCCCCTCCCGTCAGCGCCGGCCCCGCCTCCGTCCCCACGCACCCGTCTCCAGCACAGGAAACACCCCGCCACGCCGCGGCCGGCCTGAAGCCCCCGTCATCTCCCTTTGGCCCGCGGCGCTGTCGCTCCACTGAAGTCCCGCCTCCCCCGGATAGAGCGCGACGAAGCCCTCCCTCAGGCCTCCTCCGATTGGTCCGTTCGTCAACGGCTGCCGCTCCCCATTGGCCGTCTCTCTGCCACTCTGCCGCGCGGCTCAGCCGGTTCCCTGCCCGGGAGCTCCACCCGCCGCCGGCCGGGACCCCGCCTCCGTCTCTCCCGGCGCGCGCCCCCGCCCTCCGCGGTCACGTGATGTTTTTGCCGTGGTGCCGCCGAGGCCGCCCGTGTGAGTGCGAGTAGCCGGGCGCTGGCGGGAGGGAGCGGGTAGGCGGGTATCGGGCACGCAAGCGGGCAGCGCCGGGTTCTCCGCGCCGTCCGGCTCCTCATGCGCGGCCCGCGGCAGGCGCTTCCCCGGTGAGGGCGGGTTCCCGCAGCCCGCCCCGTTTTCCCCCTTCTCCGGACTCTGCCTGGCCCCTAAGATGGCGAGCGGCATGAACGGCCCGGGCGGCGGCGGCGGCGGCGGCAGCAGCGGCGCGGCGCTCAGGGGCGGCGAGGAGGAGCCGGGCGCCCGGCACGCGGGAGGCGGAGCCGTGCCCCAGCAGCGGGAACCCGGCGCGGCGGGAGAGGGGGAGCCGGCGGCGGGGGACGGCGGGCGCTGCCCGTCCCCGCAGCCTCACCACCTGCTGCTGCTGTTGCGGCGCTCCCCCAGCGCTTCGCTCTGTCCGCCCGCCGAGGGCTCCGCGGGCCGCGCCGGCCTGGGCCGCGGCGGGCAGCCCCCCCCTGCGGGCCGCGCCGCGCCCCCGGCCTCGTCCTGCGGCGGCGACGACGTGAGGAAGTGCGGCTACCTGAGGAAGCAGAAGCACGGGCACAAGCGGTACTTCGTGCTGCGGGCCGAGAGCCCGCTGGCCCCCGCCCGGCTGGAGTACTACGACAGCGAGAAGAAGTTCAAGAGCAGCCTGCGGGCAGGGGGCGGCGGGGCGGCCCCTCTCTGCTGCCCGCCGCCCAAACGGGTCATCCCGCTCTACCAGTGCTTCACTGTCAGCCGGCGCGCCGATGCCAAGCACAAGCACATCATCGCCTTGTACACCAAGGATGAGTACTTCGCTATGCTGGCGGAGAACGAGGCTGAGCAGGAGGCCTGGTACCAAGCCATCAGCGAGCTGATGAGCCAGAGCAAAAGGGGCTGCCTGGAACAGGAGGACCAGGCGGAGCAGCAGGTGGATGAGGACGACGAGCACTACGGGGCCTCCCTGAGGCCTGGCACTGTCTTCAAGGAGGTGTGGCAGGTTAACGTGAAGCCCAAAGGGCTGGGCCAGACGAAAAACCTCACTGGAGTGTATCGGCTGTGCCTCTCCAGCAAGGCTATCCACCTCGTTAAGCTTAACTCAGAGGTGCCCTCTGTCCACCTACAGCTGATGAATATTCGCCGCTGTGGGCACTCAGAGAACTTCTTCTTCATTGAAGTGGGCAGATCGGCCTCCATCGGGCCTGGAGAGCTCTGGATGCAAGTTGATGATTCTGTGGTGGCCCAGAATATGCATGAGACTTTTTTGGAGACCATGAAAGCGCTCAAAGCCTTTGCAGAGTTTAGGCCCCGAAGCAAAAGCCAGTCTTCTGGTGGCGGTGGTGGTACCAATCCCATTTCCTTCATCACCACTAGGAGGCACCTGGGCAACCTGCCCCCCAGCCAGACGGGCTTGCAGAGAAGATCAAGAACGGAGAGTGTGGTAGGAGGGACGCCTCCAACCACCAAGAGCAGCAACTCCTACCGCTTCAGGACATCCAGTGAGGGAGAAGGAACCATGACTAGACCTTTTAGGTCAGTGACGGGGAGCCTGATCCACCTCAACACCGCAAGGATGAATTTGGGCCGGCAAGAAGGGAGTGGAAGGTACGTTAGAGCCGCATTCAGCTCGTCATATCACACTAGGTCTGCTTCGCTGCCTGTGTCTCATTTTCCCTCTACTACAAGTCCCATCAGTGTTTCTTCCAGCAGTGGCCATGGCTCTGCTTCAGACATGTTGACCAGGCCTTCTAGCTCCTCTGTTTGTGGCTCTCCAAGTGATGGGGGATTTATTTCTTCTGATGAGTATGGCTCCAGCCCTGGAGATTTCAGGTACTTTAGGGTCCGGAGTAATACACCGGATTCCTTGGGAAACACCCCACCTATCAGAGAGGAGAATTGTCTGAGTGAGTACATGTCCATGAGTAAGCAGCAAGCAGACGATAGCTCAAGAGATGATTACATGGAAGCTGAAAAGTGTTTCAGAAAAAGAACTTACTCTCTAACTAAACCAACTTCTGTAGCAGTGCAGCAGAAAACAACACAAACTACAGCTTTGTTGGATGAAGATTCTATAGGAAATCATGGACGATTACTTTACTCTGAAACATCAAAATTGAAAGGTAACCATGAATTGGAGTACAGTGACAGTAATCTTGATTCTGTATGCAACCAAAGCAGGAGTAAAGCCAGGGATGATGGATACATGCCAATGATGCCAGGCGTTGCATCCTCTCTGTCAAGTAGCAGTGATTATTTGCCAATGACTCCTAAAAGTATGTCTGTTCCAAAACAGATTAACAATTCATGGTCACCCTCTCAGGTTGACTCAAGAGGATATATGATGATGTTTCCAAAGGCAAGCTCTTCACCTGTACGGAGTCCTTTAACTGGATTTATTTCTAAAGGTAGTAACGAGAAGATTGTAAACAATGAATACATGGATATGTCACCTGGTAATTCAGCTCCAAAGCATCCCGGTGATTCAAATTATATACATACCAGTTCTGTTTCCAAAGGTTTCAGTTCGTATTTTTCTTTGCCTCGAAGCTTTAAGGCATTAACAGGCCAAAATGGTGACCACAGTGAATATGTTCCAATGTCTTCACCTGGAAAACTCCTGTATGGTGGATCAGAAAATGTGAAAAGCACCAACAGCGAAGTTCTGTCTAATGGCATCTCTAAGTCACCAGTGGCGAAAGGTTCAGATGAAGGACTGGTGCAGAACAGGGCTATGAGGCCAACAAGACTCCCCCTCGGTACAAGAGGGAGTAATACTATCCCAAGAATGTATGATCGCACAGTTCCACCTGAGCCAGCAAGTCCTGGTGAATACATCAATATTGATTTTAATGAAAAGGCAAGTAACACACCGTATTCCTTATCCGCAGAAGGATCGCCGTCATCTCTGGGCTCGAGTAGTGACCACAGACAGTCCCCGCTCTCAGATTACATGAGCGTTGACTTGGATGTACAGTCACCAAAAGTAGCGAAAGAACTATCTAACTCTTTAACAGATATTTCAATTTATGCAAGTTCCAGTATTCCTAGAAGCCAACAAAATCCTGACTATGCTAGGCTCTCCTTTGGTACTGCGTGTGTTAGCACTGCGAGTAACAGGACTGATGATTACACAGAGATGACGTTCAACATGGCAGCAACACCACCTCGGCCCTTCGCTGCTGAATCCGATGATGGTGTAAAGATGGATAGTCCTTCTTCCATAGTTAACAGACTGTGCATTGTTGATCGATATGCTGGTAGCAGTAGCTTTTCTGTTCCTAGCGCTGAGCCTCCAATGGGACCGAAAGTTATCCGAGCTGATCCTCAAGGCAGGAGGAGACACAGTTCTGAAACCTTCTCTTCTGCTGGGACTGTGACGACATCCTCCTCCTTCTTTACTGATAGTAGCAAAAGACACAGCTCTGCCTCATTCGATAATGTTTGGTTAAAACCAGATGAAGGCATTTCTGATGGTCAGGAAAGCAAAATGTCCAGGGATACCTCAACTGGATTTCAGAATGGCTTAAACTACATAGCTTTGAATTTGTGTGATGATCCAATAAGCTGTGAGGCAAGTACTGGGACGCCGACTTGCCATCTCCAGAATGGTACTTCAAGTTTGGACAGTGGAGCGTACGTAAGCATAGACTTCACCAGGTCTGACGGTCTGAAGTGTAACGCTGCACGCAAAGGTTCGTAACTTTACAAGCATTTTCCTTTCATGCATGCTTAACTATAGGAATTAAATTGTAACCTAATATTAAAATGTGGTCTTAAGAATGGGGTAAATGTTGCTATATAATCTGCTCCGGTACAGCTTGTCCTGTAGGAGCGCAGTCACCTAATGACTGAACAAACACAGCAGAGGACGTGGTCCTTGGCCTGCAGGGTATAGGTTTATGTAACTCTTCTAGGCAATTAGAAGTGTTATCAAACTGCCATCTGCTCAGATATTTTTTATAAAATAATCTTGCTAGTATAA